GGGCTTTCTGACGGTAGCTCGAATTTGAGTAATTTTTGTATCGTCAGAAAGCTCGCGATCCCTACAATAATATAGTATCACTGAAAACACCATACAAAGGTTATACAATAAATCGAAAAGAGCACTAAGATTAGCATTAATCGGAAACGATTCAAGATGTAACTAAGATCAACGGCTGAAAAAGTTTCGGACCGTACACACTCGTGCACCACTCCACTTGATAGACATGCAATCTATCTTCCTTGCGCTATCCACACACATAGGAACCTCAGCGATCAAATGCCCAAAAACTATAAATAAATAAATAGGGTCCTTGCGAAAACCAAAAATGGCGCACACCCTAAGGGCTAGAATGACAACTCAAGAGGGCATTCAAACAATATAAGCTAGACACTCGGCATCCCCCCCTCGGGGCAAAACAAGTCTCCTAGTCCATTTCTTATCTTCGCCATCAGAGAGGGATAAGAACTGAGAACATAAAGAAAGAAAGAAAGAAAGAAAGAAAGAAAGGCGAGCAAGCCACTGAGAAGGAAGATTCAAACTAAAAAAGAATATTTATTTCATGAACAGAGATGCATTACAAGGTTGTGGTTACAATAATTTGTAGCTACAAAGAGATAGATCCAACTTGAAATGAGTCTCCCATCCAGAGATACAGCCCTCCAAATGTGTTGCCACCCTCTAAAACAGGTAGTGTCATCCAAGACGAGGTGTCATTCTTTTCTAAAAAAGGGAGCTTGGAAAGAATGAAAATAACATCTTGCTCCTATTCACCCTCAAGATTTGTTGAGAGACAATAAATATGTATTAGATGAACTTCGATGCTAAATTTTATTCCGAATGTTATACTTCTCCTTCTCTCAAAGCGCAACATCCATCGGGGCAAGTTGTTGTATGTTATTTTTTATTTACTTACATCTGTGGTACAAATAAGGAGAGAGCCAGTGATGACCTAGTCCTGCCAGTACCCAAGACATTGTCAGATCAAGGAAACATTGTAAAATAAGCTTAAGATTAGGCAACCCTGTAAAAAGTACTATCATGCAAAACATAAACCTTACAACTACATCCCTATGCTATGTGCTTTAAAACAATATCAAGCCACTGCCATTACATCCAGAACGTCGAAAAACCCTCAAGGACTAAATTTGGGCTCAATCGGACCTCTCAAGAATATTTTGGGCTCAAATTACCACAAAATGGGTAGGTTGTACAGTATTGTAGTGTGGCCTCACCAAACCAGTACCCAATCATGGAGGTTGCATTCTACACATCATGGGATGACTTGTAAACGGTCACACAATACTTGTTTAGAGTAAAAAAAAAGCTCAAATTCTGACACAAGCTAAGTCTCAATGACCCGGTCATTTTGACATATGGAACTCGTTGTGACATGATCAGAATCAAAGTTTTCTAGAGAGAAGATGAGTCGAAAACATGGAAATCAGAGTTTTTGAAGAAAACATATCTCGAACTTCGTGAAGCAATAACTCGAGATCCGAATATCAGATCATCACACAATCAAGTCCAATGCGACTGTATCACGAAGGGCTACAAGATGGTATAACTATTACACTCAATCTAAGGTCGGATAAATCATGAATTCCAAAATTGAAGAAACCAAGATTGCCCTATCGTCGAAATCCCTTTTTTCAGCGATCTCTTGAATTCAGAAAGTACTTCAAGCAAGAACAAAAACAGACAAAAATTTGATGCAAAAAAATTGTAGAAGTATCCTCTTTAATTTGCAATCAAAATAAAGACTTGGAACACCGTGGATCGCATTGCATTGACTGCCAAAAGTTTGTCTCAAGACGATCAAAAGACATCAAACTATTCAAAATCAAGCAAGCATCAAAGACTACAATGATGGATCGTCTGAACCACCGCCATAAGCATCCAAAAAATCTTCCAAGATCTGGCAATGGTGAAAGATCCCTCGGAGAGGGATGGTTTCGTCATTAGCACAAAAGGTTTAAGGGGCATTTTGGTCATTAATCCTAAATTCAGGATTTTACTGTAATTTTTTAATCTTTATTAGGCTTAGTTTTAAGTATTTACCCCTGTTCGGTGGGTCCTCTATATAAACAAGCTTAGGTCAATTGTAAAAGGGCCGAATCATTCATTAATGAAATAGAGGCATTAAGCTCGTTTCTATTTGTCTTTTGCCCTTAACCCTTGGATCCAACGCCAAATAGAGAAAAAATTTCAGAGAGAGAAACTACCTGTAGCTGACCTTAATCGTGTGGCTCCGTTCTCTCTCTCTCTCTCTTTTCTTTCTTTCTTCTCTCTTTTCACTTGTTGCTGGCCCCGCGCAGTAACCCGTGCCCGTGGCAGACCCGTGGCAAACATGCGGTCTCGTCTATTGCCCCTTGCATCTCTAGCGTAAACACAGCAAACCTGTGGCTCCACCTACAATCCCGCTATTTGGCATACACTCGACTCAATACCTTTCAGAGTCAGTCTAAGAGTTCCAAGTCTCAGACCATCGCTCTAACTTTCTCTCCGTACAGTCGAGTTGAGTTGTGAGAAACGCATACTCTCTCTCCCTCAGTCACTCGAGAGGAGTCTTCCTTAGCCATAGTCAAGAGAGTTCTAACCCTTCGATTTCCTTGATTACCTGAGTGCTTAGCGTTTTCGGGCATAAGGGGATTCTTGTCACCATTTCTCCCCTCATTCTATTTCTTATCTGCCAGTCTCTCGTTTGAGTGAACTTTTATAGAGGAGTACCGACGAATCCGCATTGTAGTTTCCAATGAAAGAGAACAGAGCAACGTGTTAAAGCTTGAGGAGAGTTCGTGTCCAAATCGCGCTGGCAGACAATCGGAGGGCTTTGTAATTATTCTAAGAGGGCGAATTGCCCGGGTATGTCCCGAACCCCAAATGATGAGGTAAGCATTTAAAATGCATCCCCGTCATAAAATCTCTCTTTTTATTGGTTTTTATCCATGCATAGCACACATGCGCACACTCACAAACATGAAGCGCGCGTGGACCCTCTGCGGTTATTTGAGAGAGGATTTTCTCCTGCCATATGCGCGAGAAAAAATCAGGCCCGACCACTGCATTTTAGGAGCCTATGGGTTTGATACCATATTAGAAACTCAAAATATTACAGAGAACTCTTTCTTTATTGATTAATAAAGAATATACAAGACCCCGTATAAATATACAGCTAGTAACAGTTGTGGATAGACACCAACAGTTATTGATAATTACTAACTAATCTTATCATTATTCTAGACACCTAATCTTATCAAGATATATATATATATATATATATATGCTAACAGGATCCTCTCTAGGTAACCCAGGTTTTGCAAGTTTGTGGAGATACTGAGGGGTCGATTATGTTCTGTTATGCTGGTCCGTGTCATATTGCATTTGCAAATCATGGAGAAATTGTTGCTCTTGTGAAGGGTTTTAATTCGGAAGGAAAGATGCCTTGGTGAGATGTTGGTGATTGAAGGTAGCTCTCTCAATATTATTAACTGGAGTAATAAGATTTCAAGACCTCCGTAGCATCTTATATTATTGTAGTTGCATGTCAGTAATCTTTCATCATGTATGTAGAGAAGCAAATGAGCTGGCAGATGGTATGGCAAAGGGAGGTGTTATTTTGAACTTTTTGATTGTGTCATCTGTAATATTTTGAGATATGATTTGTAGTTCCCATTTAGCTAATAAAAAGTAAAATACTCTTGTCAAAAAAGAAAAAAAAAAGAAAAAAAAAAGACAACATTTAGGTTTATTTTAGGGCCTCCAGCACCTTTGTATTTGGGTGTTATAAAGGATTGCATTTACGTTTATAACACCGTGTTATAAAGGATAGGTTTATTAGTTCCACATCGGGGGATGATAGGAATAGCATGGGAAAGTCTACATAAGGCGGCTTAAATATGTAGCATGTCACTTAGAGTGAGAAGGTTGAGCCCTTGCCACCCCTCTCTACGTGACGTTGTCTTAAATAGAAATTATAGAGGAAAAATAACAAAAAAAAAAAACAAGAGCATAGAGGTGAGGCCGATTGGCCATTTTAGGAATCGGCCAGTACTTGACAACACAGTACTCGACAACACTGATCAATTTTGTCAGAGAACCGACTGGACATCAAAATCGCATGCGATACTTACATGTATGTTGCCAAATGTATAAGTCCTGCACAAGCTTGTTGTCTCAATTTAGAAAAGCAATACACAAGTGGCCCTTGAGATATTATGAAAAAAGCAAGCTAGGGACTCCGTTGTCTTCGAGGTCATGCTTTTTTTTTTCCTCTTTAGCCAACATAAGCTTAGACTTATGAATTAGGTCATTTTTATGTGGTCCCCACGGTACCCCAGCTTTCTGGTGCTCCTCTGGCCTGGTAGACAGGAAAAGCCGCATGTGATTCTCTGGTTTTGCATATATTTCTATAATACCCAATTTACCCTTGAGTGAGAACATTTTCCATGAATAATATATTCATGCGGTTTTTTAAGGTCATAATTGAAATTACTCTCTAGAGCTGTTTCTAAAGTCACGTAGCCAAGTTTTTTCTTTTTTCTTTTTTTTTCTTGTTCTTTAAAAAGACTATTGCTTGTGGCACAAAAATGGCACAATTATCTATATTTATCAGATATAAAATTAAGAGATAAATTCATAATGTTGACATATATTAAATCTTAAAAAAATATTTTAATAGGGAACCCTTTTAGCTGCATAATTATAAAAAAAAAATATTAATTAGAGCATTATTCTAACCATTTAAAATTCCATTCAGGTCGCTCGAGGCTCATACTTTCCAGACGTCTTTCACTGATTGGCATTCTTAACCTTTTAAAGTCCATTTACTTTTTTACTTTTAGGTAAGTAATACCACTTCATTTAACCCAAAAAAATAAAATATGAGAACCACACCACGTCACCTTCGGATTTCAAATAAGTAATTCCACCCCATTTTCACACTAAAATATAAGTACAAAAAGCATTTGGCCCATAAAAACATTTTAGTGCAAAAGCAATTAATTACAATATCTTTTTGCTAGTTTAAACTTAAAAGCAACTCATTACAATTGCTATAGAAATTCTCCATCATTTTAATGCCATGTATTTTTAACAACGAAAGAGAGAAAATAGAAATAAAAAATGCAAAACAATTAATTATCTTCATAAAATCCCTCCAATTTCCAGCCAACGGAGGCTCTTTTCTAGCCTCCACGTCATCGCCTCACGTGATTTCATTCATCGGGCGACGCAATCCGGTGAGACAGATTCCGAGGTAGAGAGAAAAACAAGAGACTGTTAGTGCGGGTGAACAATAATAGAGAGAAAAAGGGCATTCAAAGAGGAACTTTAGAATTTTCGGTTAGAACTGTTGAATTGATCTATTTATCCATTAGGTTAACTAAACCGTTTCTGGCACTATCTCCTATTAACCTTTCAATTCGATTTGAAAATAAAGCAAGAAAAGAGAGGAATTGCATGAAGAGAGAGAAATAAAGAGAGAGGGGAACAGAGTAACATGGTAAAGAAATAAGGGAGAAAGAGAGCTCATAACGAGAGAAGGTGAGTTAGAAGGTTTTGTCTAATGGCTAAAAGGGTGAAGGCTCCTCAGGCGGAGGGGACCTTGACAGGGTAGCGGTCCACACAATCGGACCAAGGGTTAGTCCTGGGCCACTCGCCCACTTCCACCCTCCTGAGAGCGCGCCACACCGCACTGTTGCATTTGAACCCGGACCCGAACGCGATCTGCCAAACCCGATGCCCCCTCCCGACCCTCCCCTTGGCCTCTGTATACGCCAATCGTACCAAAGCGAGCTGCTGGAAGTGTTTCCGAACCTATGCAAAGTCATCCTCGATGGCTCCATATGCGAATCGCTCAGCTGCAGATTCTTTTGTATCTCGTCGAGCACCGCCCGGCCGCCGGCGTGAATGCAGAAGTGCTCGAAGGCGAGCTTGAAGTTTGGGATATAAGGCTTCACCTTCTTTTTCAGCACCTTTCTAGCCATGAGAGTGAAGAAGAAAAGCAATTGCTCTGACAGCGGGAGCACCAACGGGCCAAGCGTTGTTATGTTGGTCTTGAGCGCGTCGCCTGCAACTGCCATGAGCTCGCGAGCGAGCGAGACACCGACAGTGCCGCGTGAGTCCTCTCTTTGAAAGACGCACTGGTAACTGTTGTCATCTGAGGCCTTGTGGGTGCGCACCGTGTGGACCAGTTCGTATTTGGAGCGTCGTTTGTCATGTCCCCTGTTCGATAACAGCACCGCGGCACACCCCATTCGAAAGATGCAGTTGCAGAGAAGCATGGACCTGTCGTTTCCGAAGTACCAATTGAGGGTAATGTTCTCAGTGCTCACCACGACGGCGTAGGTGTTTGGGTGGGCTTGGAGCATATCTTGAGCGAGGTCGATCGATATGAGACCAGCACTGCACCCCATCCCACCCAGATTGAAGCTTTTGATATCACTGCGCATTTTGTAATGGTTTACAATCATGGCGGAGAGAGACGGGGTTGGGTTGAAGAGACTGCAATTCACGATGAGCACACCGATATCTCGTGGCCGAACACCGGTGCGCTCAAACAGAGCATCGATCGCTCCAAACATGACCTCCTCGGCCTCGAGTCTAGCCTCGCGCACGCATAGGTTCGGTGGCTTGGAGGTGATACCTTGAGGCAAGTAGGTCTCATCCCCAACGCCTGATCTCATGGTGATCCTCTTCTGAAAAGCTATGGTCTCATCTTCAAAGGCGCCATTCTTCTCAGTCATGTCTAGGAATTCGGCTGTCGAGATCTTGCGATTGTCGACCGGTTTATAGCAAGCAAAATCAACAAGATAAACAGGTCGTGGTCGCTTCACTAGGTACAGAGTTAGAACAAAGATGAGGACAACGGTGCACCCCATTGCCGTGACCAGGTCGAAACAGAGGTTGCTCCAGAAACCGAGAACAGGGTGTCTTCCAAACCGAACAGCCTGAAACAATGCACCAAACAGAAGGGGAATAACCGTCAAGTAAAGGCCATGGCTCATCAGATAACCATAGCCCAGCTTCACATACTTGAGCTTCACCGACTGTAAAAAATCAGGCAGCTTTTGCCGGATTTTTATGACTATGGCTTGGCCAGAGAAGGCCTCTCGATCTGGACCGTCGGTTCGATCCCTGAAGGCCATTTCGGCCGTCAATCTCTCCTTCTCCATCTCTATGCTCCCCATCTCCAATGAAAATCAATATGATGATGATGAGCTCCAATGTTTTTCTTTTTTTCTTTTTTTTTTCTTGTTCTTATGCGTGTACAAGAGGTCCGGTATTTATAGGAAACCCTACAGTAGGAAAAGGGCAAAAGCAGCACGCAAGGTTATAGGGAAAATGGAGAGGGTGGGTCAAAGAAGACTAGGAATTATTTCCTTGTTTTGGTGACCTTATTTCAACTTTTTTTTATTGGAACCCTAAAAGAAGCTCAACTGCTGCATCTAGCTGCAAGAAAGCTGTAACTGTAGAGCCCCATTTAATGGGAGTACCTCTCAGAAGAGAGGATCGCTCAACCACCTTTAATCAATTTTTTTGGTTTCATTAAATAAATAATCTCAATCCTAGTGGGAATGCCTTGCTCATTTATCCAGTCTGGCCACATGGAAGCTGGCCTCAAGGAGTTAATTTTCTTACCCCCGTCTCTGTTTAAAGGGAGACATAGTCCCTTGGAAAGGGTAAAAAATTTAATTCTGCATAAGAGGTCACAATCATTATTGCTCGTTAAATTTTAAATTTATTATTGATCAGACTTAAAGTTCAAAAAAATAATCCAAGCTTGATTAATTTGAAATCTAAAGGCAAAAAATGGTTGTAACCTCTTTTTAACAATGATAAATATTCTCGTAATATACAATTCTTTTATTATTATTATTATTATTTGTTGCTCTTTTTATGTAACCCTAGGTCAAATTCACAACTTATTGATGGTGCATAATTTGGGTGTGAAGAGGATTGCTCTTGTGTGTGATAACACGGTTTGACTGGGTGCATAGTACAAAGGGATTGCTCATTATGGAAATGGTAGGATGGTGATTCTTCAAAATCTCAATCACATATCCAAAGAGGTTAGCATTAATACAAAGAGGTTAGCATTAATACAAAGGTATTGTTCATTATGGAAATGGGTAGGATGGTGATCCTCCTAAATCTCATTCACAAAGTATGGTAGACTCCAAAGAGGTTAGCATTAATTTCTAGGTATTTGTAGCATCAATAGATGAGTTCTACTTGGCATTGGCAAATATCAAAATCAAGAATTGACGGGAAAACTATGGTGTTTCTCTTTTAAGGGACATACACCGGTGAGATAAGAATTTGTCACGTGTTCATGGACGTTGTTGCAGCGCTTCCTATGATATCATCGTTATGCTATCTTTTTTAAATGAGAAAAAAGTTTATATAACGGTGAGGCCCTAAACAATCAAATTAAGGCGTGCCTCAAAAATTTATTAGAAGATGTTGTTGTTTTGGTACCCAGAAATTCCTCAAATCGATCATGTTGACCTCAAGATGCGTGGATATGAGAAACAAGGATTTCAACCTATTGAAATAGTGCATCTTGTAATGTATTTCTAGAACATCAATTTTCACGATTTTTAGTTGTTCACAGATCTGCTCGATCGACACTACTTTTGAAGCTTTAAATTTTATAATTAGAAATGAAAATAAATTTTCTAATCGCCTTAAAGATTTCAATAGTGAAAGAACATGTTTCGACATTATTTGAAAGTGCACCTTACTTTGATTGTTTAGGGCCTCAACCCTATACAAACCATGCCCTTTAAATAATGGTTTCAATGATGCAAATCAAGAAATAGATAATTTAAAATTATTCTTGCATTTTTTTTTTGTATATATATATTCGAAATGATCATACTAGATCATTTGGAATGAGCAGATTGGGGCCAGAAGAAAAATAATTAGCGAGAAAATGTGGTCGCAAGAAATTATTTACTTTTTATTTTTTTATTTTTCTTTCTAGCCAATCTTTATTTTTTTTTATGGGATTTGTTTAAGGATAGTATGACTTCCGTTATTGTTATGAAGTTTTTTCTTTTAGGTAAAGATAAAATTCGAAAGGTTTATTGTTCTTTTAGGGCGTGTTTGTTTAGAGGAAGGTTTGTGTGTGTTCAAAACACAAACCTTTCCTGTAGCAGTTTTGTGTTTGATGCACGAGAACTGGAACTCATTATAAGTTCTTTTCTTAACATAAACTTTCCCTTTCTATTTCAAAAGTTCCCTAAACCAAGTTCCCACAAAACAAAGAAATTCAAATTTGGGGAAGTCCAAGTCCCAGACAAACCCTAGCCACTCACCCCTATATGCCTCTCTGGCCCCTCCTCTACCTCTATTGTCTCTTCGGCCTCTCTCTCTCTCTCGGAAATTCTTCTTTCTCTCTACTTTTCTCCTCTCCTGAAAATCTCTCTCATTCTCTCTCTCGAATAATCCCCACCACTCCCCCCCTTGCTCTCTCTAAATAAACAATGGTGTCATCTCCTTTGTTATCTCCTGTCGGGGCTGAAATTGACAATTCCAATAATCTGTTTCTCTCTCCCTCTCACATTAAAAAAAATTTCCCTTTATCTCTCCCCCTCTCTCTCAATTTATCGACTAATTAGTTGTGATTTCCTAGAGAGAGAGAGAGTGAGATGATCTGTGCAACAAAGACTTTACTTTTGGAGGGGGGATCACGTTGTTATATCTCTTTGTGTGGAAAGTTTGTGGGAGTGGGTTTTACAGTGTCTTTCCATCCGGTTGCCCATCTTTTTCCTTTTTCCCATGAATCTTAATTTAACAAAACACTCACTCTCCCTCTCTGCTTTATAATGTTAATAAACAACTTTCTATCTGAGGCTTTGACAGACGGAAAGGTTTTTATGCTTCTCCTACAGCATAGAAGTTTTATCCTCTCCTTACCATCCAACCGTCTAATTTTGGTCAAGCGAGCCACTGACCGCTTGATCTTAGATCCGATGTCTCAAAATATTTTATTTTTAATTTTTTATACAAATTATATGAATATAAAATTTGGTACGTGCCATCTTCTCATTGGGGCGCACCTATAAAAAATATTAAAAATAATTTTTCAATAAAATATAATGATCAAAATACCCCTTGAAGCTTTCAGGGGTATTTTGGTTATTTTATTTCATTGAAAATATTCTTTTTATATTTTTTACTAGTGCGAGTTTAATAGAGGAATAGACTTCCAAAATTTAGTGTCAAAATAGTTTATAGAAAAAAAATTAAAAATAAAATAGTGTAGATGCGTGACATTGTTATTGGGACAATCTTAGCCCTCCATTCAAAATGGAGGGTTAGATAAGGGGGAGGATAGATCTTCTATGTTGTAGAAGAATCATAGAAAGCTTGCCCTTGATAGACACCCACTATAATGCCATTTCTGAATAAACTAGTGTGAAATAAAGGTAGGCAATGTAAAAACTATCCTTCCCATACATTTCTCTATGCTTGTGTTGATGTTGTATATGTTTGTGGTAGATACTTTAATATATTTGTTTTTGCTTGTGGTACTCTTTGCAATGAAAATTCAAATTTATGAAAATGCAACTGCCATGTATGATTTGAACAAGTAAGGAGGAATCATATTCAATCTGTAGAGGGACGCAATCCATATATATAGTTAAATCAACACCAGCTTCCAACCCATAAAATTTTGCAAATATTTTGATGAGATAGAAAATGCAGCAATGAAAGAGCCATCATTCCTTCTAATAATACCTCTACAACCTGCTCTGCCTGGGTCTGAAAAGAAGACCCATCAACATTTAGTTTAAAATGTTGTGGGTGAGGAAATGACCATGCCAATGATATAGGTAACTTGATCTTCTATTGTCGCCTTAATGCTCAAGTTCTCAGCAATTACCTTCTATGATATGTGATATGACCAAATCTTAGCATCCACTAAATCACGAACATGACAAACGATCCTCTTAATCAACTGCTTGTAAGTGGACACCTTTCTTTGAAATATGTGATGGTTCCACTCTTCCCAAAGCATCCAGATGGTTGTGAAAAATAGAGAGTGCCAAATATTTAATGATACCATCATAGTTGAATCTGAATGCTAATCATTTTCTTCAATGTAGCTATAATAGATAAGTCAGGGTTAAAACGTTTACTACGACTCCAAGCTATCGACCTCATACCTCATGTGAAAAATAGTACAACAAGATAGAAGAGTTCGAACGCAAGTGTTTTTTTTTTTTCTTAGGTAATTCAGTGGAGATGAGAGGCCCCTATCCATTTTTGAAATAGTTAGTTTTTTGTTGGTACTTTGTCTGTATTTGTGGTAGACACTTTAATATATTTGTTTTAACATGTGGTACTCTTTGCAATGAAAATTCAGTTGTATGTATAGTAGAATGAATGGATCAATTGAAAATTTAGTTTCACTTATTTTATTGATGATTTGTTTGATATAAATTTAGTACATTTGTTCTTATATACTAATATGCATATACATTTTATATGGATTGTCTTTCAAAATTCTAGGGTGAATCAAACACAGGTACCCAGAACTTCATCCAAATTTCAACATGTAATCAAACACCGGTACCCAGACCTTCCTTAACATTCCAACAAGTTATCAAACACAGGTACCCAGAACTTCTTTAAACCTTCCAAAATATAACATTCCACTTCCCAGCAAAGAATGACTTCCTTTTTTCAGATAACGTTTATCTTCCAGCAAACAAACATGCTCTTAAGATGAAGGTGGGTAGGAAGTTATAAGGAAAAAATAAGTCAGTTTTTGGAAAGCAATTCCTTTTAAAAGAGAAAGGTCCAGAAAGAGTTTTAGAAGATAGTATTAAATGGATGGTCATCTATTATATTGAGTTGTACTGGGTAAATGGACAAAGTAGTTTAATGTGTAGAGAGAGAGAAACTTATTTGCCTTGTGATTCTCTTTTCAGGATGCCTGGTGGAAGTCTCAGCTCCACTCATTGAGCTCTATTCTTATTGATTTTCTTCTCAGTCAATTCTTTCTCTCTAGAATGCAGTTGTAGTACTGGTTGTTAGCTACCAGTGTTTTTCAGTTGCATCAATTGGTATTAGAGCTTTGTTCTTATGAGATCGTGGTTGTTGTTCGAAAGGGCATTATGGCTGGAGTCGTAATCGACAACCGGGTACCCAAAACGAGCGCATCCAATGAAAACAAGACCACCGAGATATTATGATTGAAGACTCGAGAATGTAAGTTGAGTAAATCCAACACTTGGCGCAAAAAAAAACCTTGCATATTATGATGATGGTAGTGAGTTGGAAACTATCTTCAAAAACCCATTTTATGTACACGCTCCCCATCAAGAACCTCATATTCAGGAGAGCAGATAGGGGATTTTATTGTTAAAGTTGATCTACCTGAGTTTGAAGGAGAACAACAAGGATCCAATCTTTAATTGGACTCAATATTCTTCGAATCCATGGAT